AAATCCCTTCAAAAAAATAAAATAAAAGATAAAATAATGTGATGGAAAAAAAGTTATTCAGCATAGTACTCTAACTGACTGACTGGTTTCAATGTAGAATTTTGCACAGATGTGCAACACTTCGAGTTGCCACTCTTCTTCTTCTCTGTAGCGCATAAAACATGCGAAGGCAGTACAGATAGATTCAAAAGAGAGATAATAAAAATAAGTGTGAGTAAGGGAAAAAGAAGAGTAATGTGGAAGAACAATAGAGTTATGATAAATCACTAAGAGCGATTGCATCTGCACCAGCCATTGAGGATGATTTTGAGTCGTATCACCAATTCTCTGTAGCCTTCGTTGGTTTTCACCATCCCGAAGACCCCAATCAGGGATTCTACACGTCCCTATGTGGCTGACTAGTTTAAACTAACTGTTATGGATTTCATTGACTGATGAAGCCATGTTCTGGTTTGATCACCACCACTAGCTCTTTTCCAGCCTCATCGATCCTATGTCAGCTAGCGTTTCCCGTCGAGGAAGATGAAAGCTAGACATGCATGCGTAACACATGTCCTAGCCATATCAATCGATGCAGCTGCTTCACAACCTCTTCGATTGATTTCCCTTCCTTATCTAACACTCAGCCTAACCTCAATATCACTCACCCTAATATGCCACCTAACACGGGAGGTAGATAGAACGCAGACACCTATGATCAAAGACAGCTAGTCAGGCGTTTCATGTCTTCCACTTTCAATGGCAATGTCTCACTGACTGCTATAAAGAAGGACACGGTGAACTGCTGAGCAGTACGCACGACGTTTGGTCGATAGCCAGCTGAATAACACGTCTAACTAAGCCAGAGATGGCGTAATTTGACATATGCGAAACTAGCCTTCTGTATCCGTGATGAGATTTCGTCAGGGATGAAGCCGCTGGCGTAGGCTGACGCAACTCCCAAAATAAATGATGAAGTGGTTCAACACGCTCCACCAACCAATTCACTCCCTACCATAGAGCATGTATAATATGCTCTATAGAGAAATTAGAGGAAGAATTTGAGTTTCTTGAAAAGAAATTGAAGAGCAATCGGTACCCCCAAAGGTTCATCAACAAGTATGGAAGATCTAAAGTCACAAATGTAAAACAAACCACAGTGGCTAAAAAGCCAATATACTTTCAGCTTGATTATAAAGGTGAAAACATTGCAGCAATGATCAACAGAAGGCTGAGTACATCACTGGCCATAGCCTATCCTGCAGCTAAGCTCGTTCCCGTCTACCGAACAACTTGCTCTTTGCTGCAATCAAAAATCGATAGATATCCTTCTCATGTTAACAACTCCAACTGTATATACAAATTTACATGTATCTGCGGGAGCAGTTACATTGGAAGGACAGAAAGAAGAAGGGCATACCTCCGATCTTCTGAACATGTACCAAAAAGCTCACGTCCAAAGGGAACAAATGCTTTGAACAGTGCCATCGCCAGGCATCTCCTCGACACGGATCATGAGATGGACGTCGAAAAGTCGTTCAAAATTATCAATAGGCAAAAGAGCTCAATTTTCCTCAAGTTTGCTGAAGCCATTTCCATCAAACGCCTGATACCTGATTTATGCGTCCAGTAAGAAGCGGTTATCATTCTTTCTATGCCCTGCCTGGTAACTGGATATTTTCATCCTCTCTTTCATCTGATTACGTAATGTTGAAGGTTCCCATTGTGTTACTGTTGCTTGGGATAAAGTGTTTATTATTATTGTTATATATATTATTAGTGTATGTGCATATTGATCGATTGATTTTTGTTTAAAATGAACTCTGTGCAAGTATGTTAAAATTGTTTTTGTAGATATATTTAATAATGTGTTTGCCCTGTAAGCAGCTGACGAGAAGGCAACGAAATAAAAGATGGTGTCATTTTATTTTGCTTAAACTGTAGTTCTCGCTTTGTTCAAATAAAGCAACTTGCTTAACTGCTGCTTGCCTAACTAACTAACTAGCTGACTGACGGACTGATTGACTGCTTATCTAGCTATCTGTGTAACAAAGAAATTATTCACTTATACAAGCGGTAATATACATTATTAGAGTTTATAGTACTCACAGCATGAAACTGTCAGTAAAATAAGAGCACTACTATCATAAGTCATTATATGATTTACAAATATATACTTGCAGTTGTATTTTATTGGTTTTGCTCTTTTGTTAAGCAAACAAGCGATCCATTCATTCATTCGTTCAGCTCATACTACATATAAAGCGCGCGAATAGTATGTATGTGATGTATACATATATGCTTTCCTTATCTTCACTAAATAACCAGATAATCGAATCCATGGGATATTACTACTATCATGCAGATAAGAGTAGTAGTAGTAGTAGTTGTTGTTGTATGGTAATGATTTTCTCTGTCAAAAACATACTGATGATAAGAAAAGTAAACATTGAATAGAAGGGAGAAGGAAGAAGAAAAAGATGAAACGCTGAACAATCTGTATACATGAACACATTCACAAACACACACACACACACACACGAAAATATCACTCGACATAAGGAAGAGGAAGAGGATGAGTCTGTTGATGACATAGTTGAAAATTATTTTCAATGATTCTTTTATGCGTTGATCACCTAGGTTCATCGAATTATCAAGAAAGCAAGTGCATAAATATATGATGCTTTATACTACTGATTCGTTGATATGAGTAGTGGTAGTAGTAGTAGTAATAGTGGTACTCATATTAGCTAAATCGAAATGGTCTAAACAAAGAACGGTCATTCCGGTCGCTTGGGAACAAGGGATGAAAGTAATCAAAAGAAATGCAAAATAGGGATAGTAAACAGGCATATAAGGCGAGAAGATAGTAATGTGGAAGAACCATATAGTTTTATTGGAAATTATAAGTCACAAGGAGTGGATGAATCTGACCTGTCATTGAGAACGATGATTTTGAGCCATATCACCAATTGTCTCCAGCTACTATTGGTTTTTACCGTCCCGAGGACCCCAACCAGTTAGCCATTCAGTCTACACCTACCTACGTGGCTAGCTGGCTTAAACTAGCTGCTGTGGATTTCATTGATTAATTCCATGTTGGTTTAAGTTTGACCGCCACTAGCTCTTTTCCTACCTGATTCATCCTAGGTCAGCTAACACTGCCCATTGTCGAAGAAGGCGATGGCTAGGAATGCGTGCGTAACAGGTTTCAAGCATATCAATCGATGAAGCTGCTTCACAACCTCGTCGATTGGTTTCCCTTCCCCACCTAGCACTTGACCGACGCCTAACCTCAATATTGCTCACCCTATTATACCACTTCACACGGGAGATAGAACGCAGACACCTATGGATCAAAGACAGCTAGCCGGCCTTTTCATGTCTTCAACTCTCAATGTTCAGGTCTCACAGCCATAAAGGAGGACGGAACGAACTGCTGAGCAATACACACGACCTTCGGTCGATAAGCAGGATACCACATCTACTAGGCCAGAGACAGCGTGCACTGGCATAGGTGAAACGAGCCTTCTGGATCTTACGACTAGCTAGTAAACTAGTAGCCTAATTCTAATCGCAAGGCCATCTAAACACACTTTCCTACCGTTGGAATCATCATCATTATCATCCCTTGACATTTCATATAAGTTTGTTAAACTCAATTGATTTCAGATAGCAATCACAGTAAGCGAAATTTCGTCGCAGGAATGTTGAATAGTGATTGCATAATGCATGGACGCTTTATGGGTCGTTGGTAATTTGTGTAGATCTTTATTTTAATGTCACCTTCATTCATATATTATTATTAACTTGAGTTCCTAGTGGGGTATAGGGGCGTAAGCATTACAATTTGATTTCTATTTAGTACCCTGTTGCCCTTTTCAGCTGTCTCGACGATATCCAATAATAAGTATTTGTAATTCCTCCTTACACGATCTCCTCCATATTACCATCAGATTTAAAGTGGAAGATAAGAAACGCCTGACTAGCTGTCTTTGATCATAGGTGCCTGCGTTCTATCTCCCGTGTGAAGTGGTATAGAAGGGTGAGCAATATTCAGGTTAGGCGTCTATTGAGTGCTAGGCAAGGAGGAGAATTCAATAGATGAGGCTGTGACGTTACGTCGATTGAGATGGTTGGGACATGTGTTACGTATGCATGCCTAGTCATCGCCTTCCTCGACAGTGGAAAGTGTTAGCTGACATAGGATGGATCAGGTAGGAAAAGAGCCAGAGGTGGTCAAACCAAAATCAACATGAAGTCAGTGAATGGAATCTATAAAAGTTAGTTTAAACCAGCCAGCCATGTAGGGAGGTGGAAATTTCCTTACTGGTTGGAGTCTTCAGGATGGTAAGAACCAGTGAAGGATGGAGACAATTGGTGACATGGCTCAAAATCTTTGTTCCCAATGACAGGTTCGATTCATCCACTCCTTGTGACTTATAATATCCAATAAAAGTATATGGTTCCTCCATATTACTATTCTTTTTGACTCATATCTGTGCTTACTGTCAATATTTTGCATTTCTTTTTAATTTCTCTTGCTTTTTGTGCTACGTGTAGGGAGTGTGGCGACTCGAAGTGCTGCTGCACATCAGTGGAAAAATCAATTTAAAACAATTAGTTCTATGTTGGAACCAGTCAGTCATTAGATTTCAGACCAGCTCGTCGTTTCTCGTTCAAAGACCTGGCGCACGATGTCATTTGACGGTCTCCTTATCGATTATATTCAGCTCCTATATATATATATATATATATATATATATATATATATATATATATATATCCATTTTCTTCTTTACACTTGTTGAGTGATAGTGTCTTCTTGGTTCACTAATTTAGGCCTACATTCATTCCTTTCGTTTCTGAGTGGAATATAGTTGATGTAAGCTTTGAAGTTTTAGTTACATAAGGAGATGAAAATAAACCAACCAACCAAGAGAAGCCAACTAACAAATAAAGAGATAGATGGATAGACAGACAAACAGACAGATAGACAGACGGACAGATAAAATGCTTACCACGCATAGTTGAATATTTCGTATCATTATTAAATGTACATGCTGATGCAATAACAATATCATTTTGTAAATTGTTCACTGGTGTATGACTAGTACTACTGGCTTGTGTTGTTGACTTGACAATACCACTCATATATTGTACTGGCGCATTTGTAGTATTCACCAACGGGATAGAACGTGTAGATTTCTTCCCGTGTATAATAGGCAATCCAGTGGATTTTGTTTGTGGTGATCGGGATTCCGATTCCTTTTGGAGAGGGAAAAAACACAGACCATATAATAGGGAAATCAACTACTATATATATAGATATTTACGTATAATTCTTGGAGAAATTAAACTCTAGACATCTAGGAGGCACGAACACACCAATGACTTTGGAACGCTCAATCAGAAGAAGGTAGTGAAACCAGTTAAGTGCCACCATATTTCTACTGGGGAATCGTGACCAGTGGGGGTACAGCAGGTCAGGTGTGAGAACAAGCACTCACCACCGATGGTATTCATTGGCTAGTGACATTCATGCCATGAATTGGCAGAAGTTGGAATTCATACACTGGCTATTGGATCGGATCCCAGTGGTTTGATGGTCTACGAGCTAGCTTTAACCGGAAGGTCCTGGGATTGAATCCTGGTGGGTTTCAGCTGCCAAAGAGTCCCAAACGAGGAGGATGAAACCGCTGCCCAGTATTCTGTGGTTTTCCATTGGTTCTCTAACCAATGTCAGCTCATGATGAGATCACATTCATGGACAGAAAAAAGTTTCAAATGAAGTGTAGGTTAGGAGAAGATGAAGGTTAGTTGCTCGAATTTCCTTTCTAGCACAGTTGTTCGTTCCAAAGTCATTGGTGCATTCCCGCACTCTTGCATGTCTAAAGATGAACTTTGCCTGATTAATGATAATACTAATAATAATTTTATAGCGATCAGTACTTTTGGTATGAATATGGAATTTTCAGCGTGTAGTACTACAATATTGCATCTAAATTTCTCATTATAGGGGCAATTATTAAAATAGGGCATTCACATTATTAATAATATTGTTCAATAAACATGTGAATATAAAATTAAATCAAGTGAAAATATCAACAACGATATAATAATGAGAAAATGGGCCATTTACTTAGAGTTCCTCAGTAAGTTGGTAATGTCCTGCCTTACACACATATCGCATCACACAAAATATGTGCCTGCCAAATAAGGTTTTGAAGAGTTTTTGTATTAGATGACTGTGCATACAGTCTTCTATAGTTGCTTCTAGTTCCCATAACTGAGACAAATGCAAGGAGAGAGTTGTGTTTGAGGAAGATGTCGAGAGTCTGACAAGATAATATTTGACAATTTCTTGCAGGAATCCATACGTCCACTATCTACTAACCCCACTCAGCCTGCTGACAGCTTTTAGTGCTCTACGCAGGATAAGAAGCTCTTTCTTAAGTAGTCTGGGAGAGACTAAGACGCGAGGAACAGTAAAGAAGGATAGGCAAAATACAAGAATTAACAAACACAAACGGTAACAGCAGAGACGGAATGATACCAGATCGTCTTAAATTCCTTACTTGCATAGAACGTCAAACGAAATACCTCTCTGGAAACTGACATGATGTGAGAAGACCATGGAAGGTGATCAGAGGAAAAACACGGTCCAAAGTATTTAACATTCGGTTTGGTTTCAACTTCAGTGCCACCTATGATAGTGCAGCCGTGTGAACTAACTAATTCACGTAAGTAAAACTTGCATCTGAAAGCGAAATAAACCACCTGACCATTTGATGACAAGAACCAGTGACTAATTTCTGATAAAAAGTTATTCATTTTGGAACAGTCTAACTGAGAAGTAACCACCGGCATAGAAACAGCCAAATCTTCGGCATACTTAACAAAATCGACTTCATCAGAATGGGGCAAGTCATGTAAGAAGAAGGAAAACAGAAGTGGGGACTAGTACTGACTGAGGAACACCAGGTAGAGTAAGCGTGAAGGAAGCAGTGGAGAACTTCCCACTGTAAACAGTGTACTGTTTCGTATCAGAAAAGCAGGAATGTAACCACTTACTGATCCAGCACTATGCTTGTGATGCAGCAAGCTTATCTAAGAAAAGAGGCCTAGGTACAGTGTCAAAGGCAGATATGTGATCTAGGAAGGCATACTAAACGTATTTGGCAGCTCTATCGAAACTAGCGACAATATTATGATATAAGGAAACACTGGCGTCTTAAGTACACCTACTATGTTAGAAGAAAATTTCTTAGGATTGTTAAAAGCTATCAATGAAGTTTCAGCGTTAAGTAAACGGAGGTTTTCCATTATTTTTAAAAAAAGGTGAAGTAATGGCAAAAGATCCACTTGATGATTTAGGCAGAGGAACAATTTGAATGTCCTTCCAAGAAGCAGGCACAGTGTTACTGGAAAATAATGATTCATTAAAAAAATACCAGTGAGAGGATGACATAAAATGTCAGCGCATTTATTGAGGATAAAATAACTGACACGCCATATGGACCAAGAAACTGATTAGGTTTCAGGGATTTGAGACACTTGAAGAATTACTTTACTTGATTTACTTGATTTGGTTGTGTTCTATGAGCTGGTCATCCATTGAAGTGCTAAGCTTTCGTTATCCTTCTAGGCAAAATCTTCCGTTGTAAGCTTTAATATGAAGTGAACCTTATTTGAATTCTCTATGAAGCATATAATTGACAAACTTTGTTGTGATTGGTTAATAATTTACATCTTTATTGATCGTTTTGATCATATCATTCATGCAGGATTCAAATAAGTTCACTTCATATTGAAGCTTACTCTGAAGATGTCATCTAGAAGGACAATGAAGGCTTCACAATTAAATCAATCAACTCAGAGAACATACAACCAAATAGGAATCATCCACCTGAGCAACAAACCTGCTTTATTATTTCTAGTCTGTATATGTTCACTATTCAAATTCACGAAATTCATTGTCAAAAAATTTGAGGTTGGCTTACTAAATCTTAACAAAAAAAACCACACACGTAAAACATTTTAACCTGATTTCAGCAATCTTCAAAAGTATTAGACTCATTCACAGTTTTACACGGGTAAGTAGTTAGGGTAGGAAGCAAATACTCTTTCTTCAAACTTGTTCAGCGTATGAAGCTTAACTTTCAATATTTTTACCTTTCAATTAGATCACCGGTTGGTCGGTCGGTCGGTTTTCGACATAGAACTTTGCACATATGTGCGGCAGTTCAAGTCGCCACACTCCCCACATGTAGCACACAAACCAAGAGAAGAAAGTAGGAGAAATGCATAATAGAGTCAGTAAACAGAGGTGTGAGACAAAGGAATAGTAATAACGGAGAACAAAACAGTTTGATTGGAAATCATAAGTCACAAGGAGTAGATGCATCTGCGCCATCACTGAAAACGATTTTGAGCTATGTCACCAATTGTTTCCAACCTTCATTGGCTTTTACCGTCCCGAGGACCCCAACCAGGAAGTCTACATCTTCCTACGTGGCTTAGACTAACTGTTGTGGATTTCATTGACTGGTGCCATGTTTTCATTTGATCGCCGCTAGCTCTTTTCCAGCCTGACCCTATATCAGCTAACATTGCCCATTGTCGAGGAAGGCGATGACTAGGCATACGTAGCACATGTCCTAACCATCTCAGTCGATGTAATTTCACAGTCTCGTCAACTGATTTCCCCGCCTTACCTAGCACTCGACGCCTAACCTGAATATTATTCACCTTATTATACCACTTCACGCGGGAGATAGAACGCAGGCACCTATGATCGAACACAGATAATCTTTTCATGTCTTCTGCTCTCAATGGCCAGATCTCACAGCCATAAAGGAGGACGGAGCGAACTGTTGAGCAGTACACACGCCCTTTGGTCGATAGTCGGATATCACGTCTACGCCAGAGACGGCGTAAACTGGCATATGCGAAACTAGCCCTCTGTATTTGTGCTGAGATTTCGTCAGAGATCAACCCATTGGGGCTGATGGTACTTCCCAAGTAAGTGAAGCGGTCAACGTGCTCTACCACTTCACTTCCTATTTCTAATCTAGGAGTCGGTGAAGTCCAATCCTGCAGCATCATCTTACATTTTACAGGGGCGAATCGCATGCCAAACATACGAAGATTGCAGCTCAAAGTGTTCAGAAGACTATGCTCTATTTTGTCAGCGTCCTCGCCTAGAAGGAATATATCGTCTGCATATTCTAAGTGAACGAGATTATTCCCTGGTAGCAGGTCAATCCCTGAGTCTCTGAAGTGAATTAGAGTTACGTCCATTAGTACATCTACGATGAAGTTGAATAGAAATGGGGATAGTAAATACAAAGTTATTCCTCTATAATACTTCTGTCGTGTATCTAATGTCCAAATGATTGGTTATTAATTGAGGCCAACAAACTTTTATTAAGTTTTGTCATATACTTCTGTGATATATAAGATCACAGAAATGAGCATAATTTTCCAGTTATTGTCTTTCAATTCAAGCCATCGGTCAAGTGAAATCCCAGTGGGAAGTGAAGAGTGGGTTTTCTGTGTGACGGTGAAATGGGAAGATTGTGCGAGCTGGAGGACATGAGAGATTATGGGAAATCGTGGAGCTAGCCAGCTGAAGAAGACAGGGGAAAACAGACCAAAGTGGAGATGTGGTATTAAAGTCCTATGTTGCACTCGGAACCCAAGGGAATATTAAGAATAATAATAATAATGATAATAATCAGATCATCATCCATGGCTGACTGACTGACTTAGTTTCAACACAGAACTTTGTACAGAAATGCAGCAGTTCAAATTGCCACATTCCATGTAGCACATAAAGGTAGACAAAGGAGATTCAATAGGACTTTAATAATAATAAGCAGGAATGTGCAAGAGAAAGAATAGTAACATGGAAAAACACGATGGTTTGATCAATATGAGCGAATGCATCTATGCCATCACCTATTGGTAGGCAAGATGGCAAGAGTGATACAATCACTCCTACACACACCACTAACAAGGTAAAATAACGCTGTAAATCTGTCAGCTGCCGGCTAGACTACCGATTTTTTCCCATTCATCAAAATGCATCATATTTCTACTGCATTTCATATTGTTTTGACCATTCAACTGCCTTCATGAATCTCAAACTTATTATCACGTACCTTTTCAAAAAAATTTCAATTTGGTCTTAGATGCCTGGAGGCAATCGGCCACAGGAACCCTGCTTGACTTAGGTTTCGAGCTAATTGGCGCTCACACTAGTC